TAAAACATTTGTGCATGTGTATTAACAGTTTGCTTCCAACCAGGAATATCTACAAATCAATAAAAACTGGCCCTGGAAAAGGCCAGCTCTGCACAAAGCCATGGCACCCCAGCATGGTCACGTTGTGCTCCCAAAGGCTCTGTCAACTCAGTTTCATCATGCCCAGAGAAGGAAAGCTGCAGTTCTCCACACGCATCATTCCACTCCTGCCTTTCATAAAAACTCTCCTGGGTTTCAGGAGGATGTCAAACTAGGACCACTGTTCTGTCACTCCTAAAGCAACAACTATTCCTGTATCTAAAGACACGCTGTGCCCTGTGAACAGAAATCAAAGATGGTCAAACATGCCAGGACAGCTGTCCTGAGAAAGGGACAGCTCTGTGATGGGTATGAAGATTGTCCTTTTTTAAAAAATAAATAAAATATCATTTGAAAAACAAGGAATAAAACAAACCCTTAGTGGATACATAAACAGCTCCTCTTATCTTTTAACAGTATAACATCCAGAGAAAAAATGGAAGATCAGGATAGTGTATACAGTGTTAAAAACAACTTACACAAGCCAGTTCTAGAGTCACAGAGCCTGTAAGTGCCTTTGTGCCAGCCCTCCAACAAGTTTTGCTGTGCTGGAAGGGACAATTAAACAAGAATATGGCAGAGGTCTCAAATCATGAGTGAGTGGCATGGAGAAGAACTACAAACACTTACTTGTTCCATCACACTATGCAAGACCTAGGCCCAAGAAAATGATCTGACAGTAAGTTTAAAAGAAACAAAGGGACCTGCATCTTCACACAATATCTGAGTAAACAGAGTATAATTGATGCATAATTAAATAGCAGAAGTCATTGCTGCAGGATGCTGAAGAAACTGAAAGTATGAGCAGATTCAGAAAAGGATGTACAAGTTTCTGGTAGACAGATGTGGTAAAAACAGTGGGTGCTAAACACAGTGGTCTAGGGACAGCTGCCAGCTCTCAATCCTTGAGGAGACAATTGCTGGGAATCAGAGAAAGCTGACTAGAGCCATGCTCTCCCTGTTACACCTGCATGGTGTAACCAGCTACTGGCCTCTGGCATGGAGACAATCTGGGTTAGACCTTTGGTTTGGCCATTTTCACACCCTCATCGTCCTTCTAATGTTTTTCTTGCACAAGCTCATTGTTAGAAAATCTATCTTCACTCTTCTTCTTCTTCCTCCTCCTCCTCCCTCCACCAAACCACTCTCCTCTCCGTGATGTGCTCCCAGCCTGGTGGTGCTGACACTCCTGCTGCCTGCTGGGTTTCCCATTCTCAGGCTCTTGGTCACCCTGCAATTGCAGGCACCACGTCCTCAGCCTAACACAGCACTGGCTCCGGTCCTGGCGGTGAGGATCCATCACGGGACCAACCGTGCTGCTAACTCAAGCAGGACCTGGAACAACAAACCACAGAGGCTCCCAAAAGAGCAGAGGGAGCACAAATGAGAGCTGATCCTTGCGTTAGAATAAGCACTAATGAACTTATCCAGGCTACCTGAGGATACTCTTGGGGCAGCAGCTTGGTTGTAGCTTGTTAGCCGCAGCAGCTTTCCTTTCTGCATAAATCTTGACCCACGGCCTCCTGCTTTCTGCACGTATTACTTCACTAGTGCCCCTCTCTCCTGACATGAAGCACTCTTTGTTATTTCCACCCTGAGCATCCAGCTTCATGTAGCTTAGGTTGTGCACCTCAGTCCTAACCCCGGGGCTTCTGCGAATCGAAATGACAGGTACCTAAGGAGGACTGGCAGATGGGACGGTGGCTTTCTATTGAGATGGTTTAGGGGGATATCTGAAATGTTGCAGCATTCAAAGAAAGCCTCCTCTGCTTTCTGCTGCCCTCCCACAAGGCTGAGCTAATCGAAGTGAAGAACATGATAAACTCTCTGCCCCGAGTCAGCTCCACACTGACAGTTCACTAGAGATACAAGATCGCTCAGTGACATTAAAAATGTCAGCAAACACCGATCAGGCTTGATGGAAGGGATGCATTAGCAGGCTGGGGGGTGGGCATGGGGCAAGGTAAAACTTCAGCAAACCCAGTCAAGTGCACAGGCAGTTTTTTTCCCCCTCTGTTCTTCCACAGAAGCTTTTTCACAGATCCCAAGACACTGTGGCCACCATTGCAGCAATCAGGTGTGGAGCTCACCACCACCTGCACGGCCAGATCAATCCAACAAGGTTTGCCTGAGGCAAAACAAGCGTGGCAGCTCACGGGGGCAGTTCCTGTCTTCAGCTTGCCTGAGAGGCAAGTCTTGGAAATTGTGAAAGCTGCCTGGAGGCACAGGGTTCTTGCCTCAACTACTCCTGCAGCACAGCAGAGACAAGGGAAGGAATTTATTGGCCAATGAACCATGAGAGAGAGACTGTCTCACCAGTGAGAGAAGAAGGACTGCTGAGCTCCAGAGCATCCCGCGCTCTGGCACAGGGAATACAGACAAGGACTGTTTCTTAAAATGATATAAAACAAAGAGGACCTGAAGTTGTGTGTGCATGGGCAGAGGGAACCTGCTACTGCACTACACATAGGTACACAAATATAGGTACAGTGTGTAATCCTACTCTTGCATTGCCTGGTAGTTGCAGAAGGAGCTCCCTAATTCAGAAAGGTCCTCTTGCTATCACTGCTCACAAGCAGAGACCCAAAGGAGGGACAGAAGATGCAGGGGGGGCCCTTCTGCAGAAAACTGCTGTCACACGTGCCTGGTTTCTTGACATCTGAAACATTCAAGTCTCTGCATTATCCATGACCTAGAAATCATCAGTTTCACACTCCACCCCCCCAACACCTTCACTTCATGGATCAGGTCAGAGGCAGACTAAGCCTGCAAGTCAGGAACACGCCAGAGGGAGGGAAAAAGGGGCCACCTGAGCTATGCAGGGACAAACAGGGGGGCTAGTTACCTGTCCACTCTTATTTGTCTCACACTGGGAGCTCAATAGAGACTGAGGCTCCATTGGGTCTGCCTGCTTGGAGAGAATTAGTTATCTAAGCTGGAAATCCTCTCTTGTGAAAACATACAGGCAGTTGCCCCACAAGTACCTGAAAGCAGTGAGTGGCATGGAAAGATCCTCGCCCCGGGGTAAGAGCAGGTCCCAGGAGAAGCAGCTCTTAAATACAGGACAGGAGATGTCCCTGCTCTCCTCTGCAACATGGTTCACTTCCCAGAGGGATGTGGGGTCCCTGAAGCCACCCTGTGTCAGAGGGCATCAGATACGGAAGCGTCAGAAAAACTTCATTTTTTTAAAGAATGAGAGGGATTGGAGGAAGATGAACATTCCTCTCCCACATCCCCTCCTCACATGATCTGAAGGAGGTTGAAGCTTTCCTTTCCAAGTTACACATGTGCAGAGGAGGACAACCCCACCTATGTGCCCCCATCCTACATGCTCAATATGTGACACCTTCAGAGAGCTGGGAAGGGGAACACTTCACTGCAACAGCTTCTCTCCTGCTCCTGCCTCTAGCTCTGTGCTTGGGACCTCATGGATGCTCAGCAGCCCTCAGCTTAGTGTCAAAGTATTTGCTGATGTGCAATACACGAATGCCCATCTTGAAGAACAGCCACTTGCCCGGACATCCACATTATGGAGAATCCCAGCTCCTCACACACTAAATCCAGGAGCCTTGAACTATGGGAAAGAGCCGTAAGTCATTCATCCAGAGGTCCAGAGGAGGAGCTGGATCAACCTACTTCTTAGCAAACATCACAGTACATAGGGATTTTTTTTAAAGTATTATTATTCTGCAGCCATCAACCTGCTGGTTATATAGCTGCTATCCATTCACCGGAAGTTTAGTGAACTTCAAATGGCGATCATTAATGGTCACTGAACTGCAGAATGCCCCAATGTGCTTTCAGATTTCATTTACCAAGGACCAGCAATCAGCCAAAAGATTTGCTCTGACAGCAGGGAAATACAAGACCCTTTGACAAGTTCAGCCAGGAATGTGCTGCCAGCATCCCTTGTTACGTTCATGTTCTACCCTATTTGACGGAACAGATCATGCAAATTGTCCTTCTGCGGCCGCTCAGCCTGTCAGTCATACTTCCATTTAAAACAATAAATAAATAAAAGAACAAAAGAAAAGCCCACAAGAACAACAAGCTGTTTATAAGCAAATTTCACTTACTGAGACCCCTAATTACCACAAAAAGGCACAGGAACCCAAATAAAGCACTAAATTGGATGGGGGAAGGAATCTTACTCATCCAAAGGTTTAACCAGGAGGGCCATCCCAGTTTTCTCTTGTGCACAGACTGCAGCCTCCTCCCTCACCCTGCTACTGTACTGCTTGTCATCACACTTGTTCTTCTCACTTTGGTTTGTGTCTTATGGCATCACCACGTTTTTCTGTGCAGGTGGAGCAGCTGTACCAGGGGAGACCTTGTGGATGCACAGCAGGCTGCCCCTTAACCACTCAGTGAAGGCATGGAGCAAGACAAGGCATCAGACAGTACTGAGTCCAAGGCATTTTGCTTAATAAAGTGGTCACCAGTCTCTTAGGTGGATGTGCTGCTGAGACATCTCCCTTTCCCCACACCACAAAGGGAAATGCTGATTTTTATAATGGAGTATTTCCACATTTATTAACCAGAATTTGGCCTGAAGGGAACCATGCTCCTAGGAGCCTTTTGTGGCTGCAAAACAAAACAGAGTCAGCAACACTGGGGACAACACAACCTTCACTGGAAAGGGGCCTCACAGTGTCCCACTATTATGCAGAGACATTGCACTGTGCCTGCCACAATGGGATTTTCCCCAGCTGCAGAACACATCCCATCAAGTACAGTAAGACTCTATTAGAAGAGATACAATAGGGAGCTGGAGGACTCGCTCAGCCCAGCTTCTGAGGAAATAACTCATTTCAATGCAAAGCAGCAGTAGTTATTAGACACCTCCTTAAAGAGGAAAAGTGAAGGACAAGGGGAGGAGGGAGAGAGGGAGACAGGGACTATGGCAGTTTGCACAGAAGTACCTTTTTCAGATTAATCCACTGTTTGAAGTAATCAGCAACCGGCAGCCCTAAGTACTGGCATTGTCCTGGTAACCTGTAAGAGAGAAGAGAGCAAGTTTGATTCAATCAGTGTCCTGACAACACAAACTCTGTTTTCTTAAGTGCATTTTGTTCAGAGATGGAAGAGACCCTCAAGTCTGCTGTAACACGCTGCACATCAGAAGGACCATAGCTCTTGGCAAAAAAATCTCATGAGAGCACAGCTTTGCTTAAGACTTACATACATCCAGGCACATCTAGGCTGCTGAAACCTTTTGGACTAAACATTTTGAACAGCAAGTGCAGCGCTCAGCTCTTCTCCACAGTGGCTAACACACAAACACGACTGGAGTATCTGCGCTGTCCTTAGCTAAGTGAACCCATCACAAATCCCTGAAAAACCATCCTGCTTAGCAGCTTACAGGGCAGACAGGACTGACAATTCACTTGTCATACCCTGGTGCTTCTGGATTTGGCCTTTATGGTTAAAACACCGAACGAGACATGAGGGAGGGAAGGAGGCAACAAAACATTCAGTTTTGGGTAGCAGTGCTGTAGGACCAATGCTTTAGGGCTAGGAAGGCAGAGGCTGTTTTCCAAGCAGGTGCTTGGAAGAAGAGCAGTCACAACTCTGAAGACGCAGGGTGCTGCACACTGTCTCACTAGGGGTTTGAGCACAGCAGCCAGAGCTGCCAGCACATGTATTTACCCTCTCCTTTCCTACAGCAAGCCACTGGAACAGAGCTCAAAATAAAACAGCACTGGTAAGGGAGGTGGATTGCCTGAAGGGACAGCAGGACCCCAGGAAAGCTGTTTCTCTCACACTGTGCTGATCCCAGTGTGTTTGCATGGGAGCTACAACGTGCCCCTCAGCTGGGGAAGGCTGAGTTGCAAACTGTGTGGCTCCAGCCGAGCCTGTGCAGGGACATGAGTTATGTGAGTTTTTCCCGGCCAGTTTGATCTGATCAAGAGTAATTGATGGATCTTGTTCATTCACGTACTGCTGAGCACGCCTGGGGCACTGGTCACAAGATCTTTAACTGAAGCAAAGGAACATCCCAAATAAATATGTCAACTAAATAAATGACTAAATTAGAGCTGTTTGTGCATGTTAGAAGTCACAACCCCAGAAATCTGCTTTTGCAAACAGAGGGGGATGGGGAATCTCCCAACTTCCTTAGGCACATGGGGGCTGTAGGGGGAGGCTGTAGAGGAGGAGGGAAGAGCTATGACTGTCAGCATCAGCTGCTCAAACACCCCAACACAGACCACCACATCCAGGGTAAAGTCTTCTCCCATCTCCACAGAGGAAAGAGTGAATAGTCCAGACCAGACTTCAGACTCAAGACTGAAATTCAGGAACACGCTCTGGTCAGAACTGGAAACAAAGCAGATACACCACCCTGAGCTAGGGTGCACTACCAGCACACCAGGGAGCACCTGAGTGCTCAGCCCAGCTCCCAACCCTTTGGTGAACAGGGCAGCATCTCTCTAGACATTTCCCCAAGCAAGGAGATGAAGGAGCAGCACAGATAATGCACTTGCAGATAATGTGAGATTCAGGGTAGTGCAGCACCAGAGCGGTCTGGTCTTGGTGATGCCTCCATTTCTATGGAAAGGAAAGGAAGAAAGCTGATAAACATATACAAGGGAATCTCCTGGGAATATGTGGCCATCAGAGCCAGCATACACTGGGATTCACCTGTGTACCACCTTTGCCCTGCTTAGGCTAAGAAATTAATAGACTCCCTGTGCCAAAACAATATGCCTGGTCCTGAGAAGATGCAAGTGTCATCATTTAGGAGCAATAACTTAAGTCATACAAACACATTAGAATAAGAAGGTACAGAGGAAGCTCTTTGAAAGCAGGAAGCCGGTCAAAAAAACGAGCTTGCAAGCAGCAGGTCTGTGGTGATTTTTGCAGGGTGAGCAATGTGACCTGACAGCACAGTCTCATCTCTGGTCACAGCTCATCTGATGTAAGCACTGAAATAAACCACCTGGAGTCACTCCTCACAATGGAATAGCCATGACATAAACAGGAGCCTGGTCCAGGCATTTTATAGCCTTATACATATGTCCAAGACATCCCATAGTCAAACAGACCCCACCAGCCCCAACCAGCATGCTAAGAAACTCTTTCTCCAGGAAAGTTGCTTTCTACTGGTGCCCGAATCAAAAAAGATCACAAGGAACCATCTAAAACAAATGACTGGTCTAAATACAGATATGTGGTTAGCTCAGCCTCTCTTAGACTCTTCACATTTAGCTAGAGAGGATGATGACAGGAGCTAGCAAAAGGTATGTTACTTAAAATTGAGTTTCTCCTCCCAACCCAAGAGGCTTTCATTAATACAGGTCTCAGTGTAGCTCCAGTTAGAGGAATAATTATGAACTCACCTAACCTCTGGATAGGGCCCAGGAGAAGTGAGTGCAGCATTGTTCTTGTTAGTCACAGGAATTGACAGCTAACCACCCAGTGCAATGGATGACATCTAAAACACTGCCATCCCTGTGGGACCAAAAGGCCCAGGAAACTGGACAGTCTGGTTCTATTTCCACCGTGAGACTGATGGCAGTGTGCCCTGGGCGCTGGACAGTGGGTCTTTAATTGGAGAAAATAAATGCTCCAAATAAATATGTCAACTAAATAAATGATGCATTTTTGCAAACAAGTAACAACCCCAGAAACCGCCTGTGAAGCCGTGTGACCTCAGGACATTCCCCCTCCCCCTCCATGCTTGTGCTCCCCTCATTTCACCTCAGCACCAGAGGGGCTACACCAAGTTTTTCAAGCACTAGGAAACCTACGCTCACACCATAACCTGTGCAGGCTGTCGGCAGCATGGACCACAACATCAGTCTACTCCCTGAGCTGAAGATGCAGGCCTGGTGGCTCCAGGCCAGTGAGGACACAGCCACTTAGCAAGGATTAGCAAAGCATTGCTACATGGGTCTGGTCTAGTCCGCCTATGCAGCACTCCCAGTACAGGGAACTGGGGGCTTTCACTGCACAAAAACCAGGTTCCCAGGTAGCTACGAGAAGGAAAACACTCCTGCAATGTCTTTTCCCCAGCTCCAAGCTTGTCCAAGCTACAGTGGTCCCCCCCACTCTTCAGCCTGGTAAGCAGGCAAGAGTTTCTCCATCATCTTCTCCAGGTTGGAGTGAATAAGGCACACCTGTGGCTGTCCTGGGGAACAGAAGTGCCATGGCCTGTAAAGAAGTAAGTCCATTTATGAGCGCCACCGTTTACTTGAGCTCATTTGATGAACAAGCTCTTATGCTCAGTACGGCTTCTTGCTCTTGCCAGAGCCAACCTTGCACACTGGGGGCAGCTTTGCTTGAGCACAGAGCTCAGGATTTGGCCCTCCCTCAGGTAAGGGAGAAGAGAAATGATGGCACATTTCACTGCATTCAGCATCCCACGATCCTTCCAGTTTTTGAACAAGGTCTCACTGCCTCCCCAAACACTGAAGTGCTCACACTTCGGGAAGGAAGCTGGCTTTCAAAACCATCCTGCAGGGTAAATGGGGCCTGGAGATGAACAGGATGCAAATAGGAGGCGAGGTGACATGGTTGCATTTCTCCCGTTGAAGCCAGCTCTCTCCAAGGCGGCGAGAAACGCACAGCTCGGTGGTGATAAACGGCCTTGCTTTAGTTATCACTTTCCTTAAGTTAAGGAGAGCAGCCTAGTGATGGATGGGCTGGAATTCGGTTATCAGGGAAGGCTGTCAGCCAGAGTTGCCTATCTCCACACACATTTAGCAGGGCGTCATTATGCGATGGCATGGAGTTAAAATATGACCAAGGGTATTGAAAGAAAAAGAACAGGATTAAAAAAAAAAAAAAGGCAAATTGAACAACAATAAAGGAGCATGAGGCAAGAACGTTATCGTACTAGTGACACCTTTTATCTCGGTCTGGTTAGCTAGAGCAGGGCACAAATTGGTCCTTCCTCCACTATTGTATCCTCTTGTACAAACAGAGGCAGATAAAATGTGTCACCAGTGCGATAGCATATCAATTTAACCCTAATTATCTAGAGGGTCAAACTAAGAAATAGGGGTTTCTCATTTCAACAGGTCCCTCCATCTCCGCTCAGAGCCACCACATTAATATGGAAGGGGGAGGGGCAGCTGTAATTGATTTCCGTCACTCAGGTGGTCCTGGTGTATAAAAAATTAATGCTTGATTCTCCCAACTAATCAGAGCTGGTTAACGTCCATCTGCTTCTGGGTTCAGGATGTCAGGAAACAAAGAAATTGGGGAAATTGGGCCACTTGCTACACACTGGGTGTATCGATATTGAGGCAGTTAAAAGAACAAGTCTCTCTATGGGAAGATAAAGAGACATTAAATCTTGGGGTTTATAGACCTGATCGCAACCTTCCAAAAAAATCCATGCCCTGGAGACCTTGCATTGTAAGAGATGCAGAACATTTTAATTGTGTCCCAGCCAACTCCAGTGCACCAGGCTACAAAGGAGAGGGCTGGCAGGCTCCTGACCAGGAAATCCTTCACTGAAGAAGGAAGCTATTTGGGTGCTGCAGCACCCAACAGCACCTAGGTGACAGCCAAAAGGAGCTGTAAAACCACCTCAGCCTGACACTTTAGTTCAAAGCAACGCTGGTCAAGGCATCATTCTGGACCGTGCAGCCCAAAGGTGCTGCTCTGATGTAGACTGGGATGTCTGCCAGGAGAAGAGGAAAGCTTGGGTGTCCTCTCTCAACAGAGAAAGCTAGCAAGGGGATAACATCCTGTGCTAAGGCACCTGAGATGTTTTAGCAGAGAAACAGCACCATAACAGGCAAAGCTGCATCTCTCTGCACTTAACCCCACAAGAGCTGGGGCCAAGCTAGGAATTTAAAGTAGCTTAAGTAAACCCACAGCCTCCCAAAAAGGCAACCTTAGGTTGCCAAAACCACTGTGCCAGACCAGGAGGCCTCTGACAGTGCGATGTTACAGCACCCGCACATGAGCAGAGCCTCCCAGCCACAAAGAACTGCCCATGACACACTGCACCCTGTGAAAACTGAAGCATGCTGATACACACC